ATAGACAACATTAAAGAGGAAGGGGCTCAGGATATGGAAAACCTCAGGAAAAAGAATGAAACAGAATTGCAAAAGAAAACAGAAGGCCAATCCAGCAGAATAGAACAAACAGAAGACACAATCTCAGAACTCGAAGATGAAATGGTAATTAAAGGAAAAACCGAAGAACTATTAATTAAACAACTCAAGACCTGTAAAAAGAAAATGCAAGAACTCACTGACTCCATCAAAAGACCAAACTTTGAGAATCATGGGCATTGAAGAAGGAGAAGAGGTGCAAGCAAAGGGAATGCGTAATATATTCAACAAAATAGTAACAGAAAATTTCCCAAATCTAGAGAAATCTATTCCCATACAGATGAAAGAGGCCTCCAGAACACCAAACAGACCGGATCAAAATAGAACTACCCCACGGCATATCATCATTAAAACAACAAGTACAGAAACTAGGGAAAGAATATTGAAGGCTGTAAGAGAGAAAAAACAAATAACATACAAAGGTAAACCCATCAAAATCACAGCAGACTTCTCAACAGAAACATTAAAAGCAAGAAGAGCGTGGGGTGAGGTCTTCCAGGCACTGAATGAAAATAACTTCAACTCCAGGATACTCTACCCAGCAAAACTATCCTTCAAAATAGATGGAGCAATAAAAGTCTTCCATGATAAGCAGAAACTAAAACAATATGTGACCACAAAGCCACCACTACAAAAGATTCTTCAAGAGATTCTGCACACAGAAAGTGAAACCCAACATAACCATGAAAGGGCAGGCAGCACCAAACTACAGGAAAAGAAAAAGCTAGAAAGTAGAGAGTAACCTCAACTTAGGTACACACAATCAAACCTTCAAACAACTAAGACAACTAAATGACAGGAATCACCACATACCTATCAGTACTAACACTTAATGTTAATGGACTTAATTCCCCCATCAAAAGGCACCGTTTGACAAAATGGATTAAAAAGGAAGATCTAACAATTTGTTGCTTACAGGAGACCCATCTCATCGACAGAAATAAGCATAGGCTCAGGATGAAAGGGTGGAAGAAAATTTACCAAGCCAATGGCCCCCCAAAACAGGCAGGAGTAGCAATAATTATCTCGGACAAAGTAGACTTCAAACCTACATTGATCAAATGAGATAAAGAAGGACATTCCATAACTAATAAAAGGGGAAATACACCAAAAGGAAATAATAATTATCAACTTATATGCACCCAATTTCATCAAACATACCCTGAAGGACCTAAAAGCATATATTAACTCCAACACAGTGGTTGTGGGAGACTTTAACACCCCATTATCATCAATAGGTCATCCAAACAAAAAATCAATAAAGAAATCCTAGATCTAAAATATACCATAGATCAAATGGATCTACTAGATGTCTACAGAACATTTCATCCAACTTCTACACAATATACATTCTTCTCAGCAGTCCATGGAACCTTCTCCAAAATAGATCATATCCTAGGGCACAAAGCAAGCCTCAGCAAATATAAGAAAATAGAAAGTATACCATGCATTCTACCTGATCAGAATGCAATAAAACTAGAACTCAACAACAAAAGACAAAAAATATGCCAACAGCTGGAAACTGAATAACTCATGGCTTAATGAACAATGGGTCATTGATGAAATAAAAGAGGAAATTAAAAAGTTCCTGGAAGTCAATGAAAATGAAAACACAACCTACCAGAACCTATGAGACAGAGGAAGGACAGTCTTGAGAGGAAAGTTTATAGCCATGAGTGCATATATTAAAAAGACTGAAAGATTCCAAATCAATGACCTAATGATACATCTCAAAATACTAGAAAAACAAGAACAAGCAAATCCCAAAACAAATAGAAGGAGAGAAATAATAAAAGAGCTGAAATCAATGAAATAGAAACCAAAAAAAACTATACAAAGATAGCATTTGTTGCCCTCAACGCAGAGAAACTAAAGCAAATACTTTAAAACAACTGAGGCCAATAGGAGAAGGGGACCAGGAACTAGAGAAAAGGTTAGATCAAGAAGAATTAACCTAGAAGGTAACATGCACAGGAAATCAATGTGAGTCAACTCCCTGTATAGCTATCCTTATCTCAAGTAGCAAAAATCCTTGTTCCTTCCTATTATTGCTTATACTCTCTCTTCAACAAAATTAGAGATAAGGGCAAAATAGTTTCTGCTGGGTAGCGAGGGGGTGGGGGGGAGAGGGAGGGGGTAGTGGGAGGGCAAGGGAGGGGGTGGGGGAAGGTGGGAGAAATGACCCAAACATTGTATGCACATATGAATAAAAAAAATAAATAAAATAAAAGCACACATATTTATGTGTGGTTTATTAAGGTACATAAAGGCAAGGATAAGGTATGCTTATCCTCTCTGCCCTATGTTAAACTTTCTTACAAGTATCAGCAAATGAAATCCTCTTCTGCAAAATTTCCTACCCAATTTTAATTAATCCATCAAAAGTTTCAGAATAAAACAACCAAGTATCTTCTTGGATTTTAGTTGACTTCTTCCCCCAATACTACAGTCATCCTTTTACCTCCTTGGGACTATCTTTTTGGACAAATCATACATTATCAAAATAAAAAGTAGGAAAATATTCTGACTCAAATTTATTGAGCTATATGTATAATCAAAGTCCCTGGTGCTTCCAGCCTTATGGGTTAGTCATGAAATACAAATTATGTGGTGACAGAATTTGAGCTTCCAAAGCTCATAGCCTTCCACTTCCACTAATGCTTACAAATTTAGTCCTTAATACATTCCTAACCATTTTTATCTAGGCAAAACTCATTACTTCATTTCGCCCAAGATGTCAGTGGTTAAAAGACAATTTTATGTACCACTAAGAAAGGAAACAAGGGCAATTAAACTGTGGTATGGCATCAAATTAAGATTCATACCAATCTCAGAGATTCTGAAATGTAAAATACATGTATCTTTGAAGAAATGAACACCTTATTTGTAAGGGCTATTGCCTCTTCTCCGAAAGCATCTGCTGACTTTTTTTGAGACAGGGTCTGGATATATAGCCCAAGCTGGCCTTACACTGATGATCTTCCTGCCTGAGCCTCCCAATTGCTGGGATTACATGTATTTGCCACTACATTCCACTGCTGACATATTTTTAATGCAGAATTACATTACAATTTTAATATAGAATTAAGTTAATGGAATAATTCTTTCTGGAACTCAATTATATTTTGGTTTCACTTCTTACTGAATACAGCACTTGGGGTAGTTTATCAAGATTTTCTTACCAAAAATTTCACTGGTACTTCAAACCAGTGTTTCTTAGGAATGTAACTTGGCAGGAAAAACAGGAGAAGAGAGTAGGCTACAGAAAAAGGACAGTGTCTACTGCTGTTTTCAACATTTGCGATTTTTTTAAAATTTAAAAAACATTATATTGTAAAGAAACAAATACCTGTGTTTTTGAGTCTTAAAAATAAAATTGAAACAAAACCTTAAAAGAAGCTTGATAAAACTTGTTACAGGGCAAATTTTATTTTTTTTAAGTTATAAAAATATGAACATTTCAAAAATACAGTCTAGTCCATATAACAGCAGGTCCAGCCATTTTACAAGTTATACAGAGTTTGGAGACAGCAATTCACAATGGTTCTTTATTTCAATTATTGCTGGTTATGTGCAGCTTTTGAGACTGTTCTCCACAAGGAGAAGAGCAGTATTTGGGCATTCTGATTGTTGCTGCTAAATATGTGGCTTTAAAAAAGCAATCCAAAATAAGAAAAAGCTCACTATGAATAGAATATAGTGTGCAAGTTCTGATCAGTACTACAAGGAGGTGTAGTTTTAAATGTCAGTTCCACCCCTTTCTCCTATTTAACCCAATTTTAATAGTATATATAGAATTATAGTGTGCAGTTTGGGGCAAGAGTAAACTACTAGTTTAAAATTAAGTGACAGAAAACATTAATTTTGGTTATAATGTAGAAATGAAGCTGGTATATTTAACTTGGAAACATTAAAAAATTGCAAGGACTTTTATAGTTTAACCAAAATCCTGACTTAGGTTCTTTTTTCTCTTGAGAAATTGAGACATAAGATAAATTTGTTCTTTTGAAGTGTATCACAATCTGTTGTTCTCTATTTTCTCTTTAAAAAGACAATGAGTTAGCCACATAACAGAAACATGTTTTTAAACAGATTTGCCCAATACCACATGGAAGAACAAATAATAAAATTAAATAATTTTAACTTTAAATAGCAGATAACACAGTTAACAGCAGAAAACACAGGGGAAAATCCACTCATTTGTGGGGTGGGTAATAGATATGAGTCTTTTTGGAAGACTTAGAAGTGAAGGGTGTCAAAGAGATAGCAATGGCTTTGTTCCCAAGTTTCTTGTTAGACCCTGTCACAAAGTTAGGCTTACTTCTGACATTTTACCTCTGTAAATTCTTCAGTTGAGTTGAGATATATATTGTTGATACGTATGAAGTACAAAAACCTTAAAAACTCATTCTCAGAACAAAAGTGATACTCATGAGCATTTGGCAATGATACTTATTAACTGAGTGATTTAAATCCAAACAATAGACTACATTTTTAGGAGGTAGGAATCAAGTACCAAAATTTTAACATTTGGTCTCCCCCACCCCTTACTTTTGGCTCCAACTTTGGATTTCTACATTTCTCATTTCCCATTCTCTCATTACAGTTATTAATTCTACTACCACTCATTATGTAAATTTATAGACCTGGAGCTGCCAAGAAAAATGTTTTTAAGAAGTTTTGCTTTTAAGCCACTAAAATGTACCCATACTCTTATATCAACTGGGAATATTTTTCATCTCTCTAGTTGACTAATTCTCTTCCTAAGGAAACATGTCAACATAAGACTACATAATATGCAAAAAAGAACTGAATAGCTTGACATGCAACTCAAGTATGTCAGAATACTTATGCAAACATACATTGAACTGTTTTCAAAATTATGCTGTATATTAAAACTGTGTTACCAGTGTTAACTGAAAATAGGTATGTGTTTCAGTACAAAATTAACTTAAAAACAAAAAACAGCACTTCCTCCCAGAGACTTATGTTGTGCTGATATCCTATAGATAGTGTTACAAAAGGATTCCATTTTTGAAATAGGTTAGGTTCACAGTATATTAGTACCAAGATCATATGTTTAATAGTACTTTTAAGAATGTCATTAATTGAATGTATATATAAGGCATGTAAAAATCTAGCATTAAAGCTCTTAAGGGCAACGATCCAGACTGGCAGCTGCTATAAAAGGTGCTGCTAGGAATAAAAAAATATTAAAGAAATTTAGTTTTAGCACATACTTGTTCATAGTGCTTTTACAATGAAATGTTTTAATTCACATAAACTTCTGTTACTAGAACTAATGGACCCTTTATAGCATTAAAGTTTGCACCTTTAACTACTAGCCCAATCCTGAAAACGGAAGCAATCACTTGCAATCTTCCAAACGGTGCTATCAGAAGTAGTCTGAGCAGTCAGGAGGAAATTCTGGTTGAAGTAGTGTTGCTTGTTTCCATCAAACTTCACAGTTCCACTGGTCACAACAAGAACTGTAGTCTGGGACTGGGTAGCTTGCTCTTTATTCACATACAAAAAGGAAAAGGTCAATTTCTATTTATAAACCAGATTTTCAGGCTACATTGCTTAATATAATGCTTAAAAATTTCATAAATGTTCTTTACCTGGAGCATGCACACCCACCAAAGCCAGAAAACTAAATATTCATTTCAAAAAAATTAAAATTAATTTCAGTTCAGAAAGTTTTAGAGGTAAAGTTTCAAAATAAAGAAATTTCATCTGGAATGACCATCTGCTTTCTGTATGTTTTAATATTTCATTAGATTTCTGATTTATGCATATTTTGCCTCTTAAACTATTCTTCAAGAACTATAAAGGGGAAAAAATCTTAAATAACTACTTAAGACACTAAGGACCCCACCTAGAGGTAAATATTATAAATTGCACTAATCTACTGAGTCAAATTCTGCCTTGACAAGTCATCCTTTTTCCCATAGCAGAGAAAATTTCTGTGAAGTTTCGACTGATTGTAAAAATACTAAAACACACAAATCAGTGATATGGCATATATTTTCTCTGGAAACACTGTTGTTTCCATTATCAAAAATCCCATTTACTCTTAATTTCTCATACGACTGTTTTTTTTTTTTCTTTCAGTACTAGGGATTGAACCCCAGTGTGTGCTAGGCAAGCAGTCTGCCACTTGAGTTATGCCTCTAGTCCTCATACAACTTTTAATAAGCCATAATCAAGTATCAAGTAATCCGCCAAGACCTGCTAGTGGTTCTCTGGAGTGAGACGTACCTAAAGAAGACCAGAAGTTCAATTTGACACATGAATTTTTCATAATATTTAACTTTCTCAAACAAGTAACCACTTCTACCAATGCAAGCTCCTTACTGCTTTGGTGCTTTTTCTCTTTTTTGGCAGTACTTGGGTTTTGAACCCAGGGCTCCACACTTGCTAGGCAGGTGCTCTATCACATGAGTCATGACTCCAGCTCACCAAAGGAAAACAAAGTACCTTGAAAGATCATGATCTTACCATGAACTGGTTGGCAATCTAACATATTGACCTGGAACTCACTAGAAGGCAACATCTCAAAGAAATTAGTTAGGTGTTCCAGCCCTGTAACAACATTTCCATTCCATATTAAAGTGGCCTTTTCCAGATACAGCCTGATAAGTGCCTAAAAATAAAGAAAAATTTTAAAGTTTTTTTTTTTCCTAAATAATCATTTTCTAGAAGTAAATCAAAAGTTTACAGATGGTATATAACCACTATGGCTCTACCTCTACTACTACTTCCTTTGCCCCCTATTAGAAACTAATATGAACATGGTGCCTGCCTTTTAATCGTGGTCTTAAATAGGTATTATCCCTATTTTTTTATAAACTGGGCAATTAATTTTTTCATAGTTCCATTACAATGAGAAAATCTTGCATCCAGAAAGAGTTTTAAAGTTTTACTTTCTGTTTTAAAATGAGTTAAATCATCACAAGTTCTAAACAGATGCAGCCCCAAACTAGTTTTAATTTCTTCTCCTCTTATAATTCTGAGAATTGAGTTGCTTATTAAGTCCTACTATATTTTAACCCAGTGGTTAGATACATGTGAATCATTTAATGGCTATATGTATTAGGAAGAATTAAGTTTTTAAGGTATTAGCATACTTAGTTCAAAAGAATCATAAACACTTGTAGAGCCTTTCATAAGTGATATATGTTAAAGACTACATAAGGCTAAATTCAACAGTTAACTCTTTAGGATCAAGGGAATCATTATTTGCTTTATTCTAAAATTTAACTTGGATTAAAAGGCCAAGACATATCTTGACACTGATAATGAACTAGGTTGTCTTATTTGCTACTTTATTTTTGAAAGCAATAAAGCACAATAAACATTTAAGACAAGGAACAATAATCAATTGTCATATCCTCTCTCCCTGTCTCACGTCATCAAACATCACTAGCAGGAATATATTTTATCTCTGCCTTAAAAAACAGATTTTTAAATAGGGTATTAACTTTTGCACCTGCAGGGTAGAAAAAGTCCTCTTAAAAAAACAAAACGCAGTCTTATACTGATAAAGAAACCTAGGCAAGACTTACTTGAGCACATGCTGAAATAACTACTTAAAAATATAGCTCAGAGACAAATTACAATGAAAAAGCAGATGAGGTGAACCCTTGATCTACTGGAGACTAAAATGTCCACACTATGTGGATCCCTTTGTGAGTGCCAGCTATCATTGCATCCTTAATCAGAAAACATTTCTGCAACAGATTTTTCTACTACCACTGAAGGACTGAAGGACAGACCTCAGGAGGTCAAGGAAACACTTCTCCCTAGGAAACGCCTGTTTGCATCTGAAAGGCATCTCCTGCCATTGGGCAATGCAAAAATAGGCTATAAAACCCCACTCCCTGACCAACGGGATCACCGGTTCCGGGTCCCCCTGCATTCTCCAATATGCAGTCTTTCTCTTCTCTTTTCTCCAACTAAATTCTCTACAAATAAAATCTTTCCGACCTCTGCTGTTGGAGTCTGTCTGTGCTTTCATCCTCAGAGCGGGCTCAAGAACCCCGAGCACCTGAAATTCCTGCGCGTGTCATCCGTGCATCACCACTAATATTTTTTAACTATATTGGTTAACTTGTAGGACTAAGAAAAGGTCACATATTTAAATATGTATATGCTGGGCCCCATGTTAAGTACAGTATTTAAATCAATTTCAACTTATCACCCTAAAAAATAAAATGTGGTTAACAAAAGTCAGCAATTTGCCTACAGTCATGGAACTAGGTAAAGGCAAACCTAGGATATGATTCCAGATCCCAAACTCCCATGAATACCACAAGAAAACTTCCATAAGCAAATTTGCTTTTAAAGAATAAGACTTAAAGAATTATACTTAAAAAGAAGCTAATTCTTCCTAACCCATGTAGACATTAAGTGATTCAGTAGTGCTTAATTGGAAACCTAATTCTCAGAATTAGAAAAGAGAAACTCAAACTACTTTTGTGCTGCATGTGCTTGGAACTTCTGATAATTCGTTTTAAAACAGAAAGCAAAATTTTAAAATTGTCTCTGTTTTTGGATGCAAGGCTTTCACATTGTGACTAATATGTAAATATTCTTGGGAAAGTCAATTAAATGTCTAGTTCAAAAAAATGATATTTAGGAAAAAGTAATAGAGACTGGAACATTAACTCACCCGTCTTCTTTTGTCCATTGTCTCATAGTAAATATTGACAAATTCCTCAGCAGCTTTACATGCCTGATCTACGTAAGTTTTAAAATCCTACAAGAAAATTTTCACAAAGGCAGTTTACCATCCCACTGATCTCTCACGAACACAAAACAGAACTCGTTAATTTATTTCTACGACTATACGGCTCTATACACAGTACACATTCTTCCACATAAATTTATACATGTTAACTCAGGTCAGGGCTCAAAAGTTTCCAATTTTTATAATTTTCACTATTTTTAGGTGCACGAATTCAGGACACTTTTCCTAGCAACTAACCAGACTTTCAGTACTCCACAAAACATTCACCTAAAAACGAGGCAGTGGGAATCTTAAAAGGGTGTGCGTGGGAGTGTCCCTTGATAGGCTAGTAAAGTGTTCTCTTTTCAAGCAAGAAGTTAGAACCAACCTCAAAAGTTGTTAGGAAAACAAAACAGATTAAGAATGAAGTTGACGAACTAACCTGAAAACTTAGGCAGCCCCACTTAGGAAATTTTCTCACATTACATAAATATTCACCGGTGTTTGTAAATGCATTGTAAAACCTAAGAATAATGCTAATGGGGTTCACGCAGGAGGATTCAGGATTAAGGAAGTTTTTCCCCAGCTCTTTAGCGAGCCAAGCCCATTATGTAAATTAAAAACAACTAATCGCCAGATTGCAACAAGCCCTCTGTCGCTACTCACGACCTACCACCAATCTTTTCAGAGACCAGACTTTGGGGGGCGGGAAGCAAAGTGGAGGGCCCCAGCCGCAGAGGCGGGCGGGCTAGACCCTGATTCGCCACTTTTACACGTGACAAGCAGCCATCCCGGCTGGGTGCGCTTCCTCGGCAGCCCAAGCCCTGCAGACCTCCCGTAACTCTGGGCACTCACCACAGACATCTTCATCGGAGAGCCCGAAGGAGCCTTTTCCACCAGCGGCCGCCTTCCTGCGTTCTCACACGCTGCGCTCCTTCGGCTGCGGAGTGATCGAATATTTAGTAAACCAGCGAAACCCGCAAACACACAGACTTTTCAGCCCGCCCATTCCCTCCCGGAAGTAGCTCGGTCCCGCTGTTAAAAGCATCCCGATATTACAACCTTAAGTCCACTTCCCTTCCGTTCCGGTAATCCCTCCCGTCCGACTTATTGCTTGCTGGCTATTTATTTACTTGGCTTAAAAGAAAACTTCACTTTTCTAAACCAGGCACTCTAAGCGAAAGCTTCCCAACTCTGCAACGACTCACCCTGGCACTAGCTAAAACTAAAGAGACCAATGAGGGGGCCTTATTCGCTCCAGGAGGCGGGGCCAAAGTCCGCAGAAGACCAATGTCAAATGGGAGAGAGCTACTAGACCCTATAGGAAAAGGGGGTGGAGTTTGAGGAAAGGCGCGCAATCATACTGTGCATGCGTGGCAGAAAACGATTCAGACTTCTGGAACGTTCTTGAAGACTCGATCCTCAAACTCCAACATCTCTATAGAGATGTCTATAGTATGCCCCAATTTTTCACTATTTAATTTTACGGTAGCCATGTTAAACAGAAAAGGCTCATCCAGTTCCCATCCTGAGGTGACTGTGTCTTACAGACCCCCGAAATAAGTTTACTGTGCCATTCACTACTTTTTCACAGCCACATAACTATTCCGGAAAATATACCTAAATCCTTGAGTGGTGACCAAAGTACTTTCCTAAGCATTTTTACCCAGATTCATTTGTTATTTATAATAACTATGAGGTAAATGCTATTATGTTTATCGTCAAGGTATTAGTATAGCCAAGACAGAATGATTAACTATGTAGAGTCACGAAGTAGTTGAGATACCAAGTCAAGTGATGAAAATACTGTGACAAACTGGCTTCACCTCCCTTCCTTCCCTTAAAACCACTAATCTCAAAGCCACTGGTGACTTCGGGCTGTCAAACCAGCAGTCTCTGTACACCTACCATGCATAACTGGTTTGTGGGTCCTCCCTGTAATAGCTACTTATTCCTTGCTCTCTGTCTCTCTTACAGCAGTCTCTGTGAACTTTTCTCATATTTTTTATTCTTAGTCTTTCACTGGCTCTATCCCTAACTCTTAACGGCAACCGCTCCTTCTTCCTCCACGCAACAATGAGATCACCTCCCACCTGGCGAGGCGCGTGCTCCCCACTGCCACGTGATGTCAGTTGCGACTCATCTGTATCCAATCTCCAGCTCCAGCCTCTTTTCGAATTTCCAATTAACGCTCTTAGACGTTTACCAAGATGTGCTATGAACTTGACAAACTCTTTTAAGTCTAAAATTTGAACTCAATTATTTCCTGTGCACTTTTAACCTTCCATATTCTCTCAGTCATCTATGCATGAATCCTTGCAATCTTTATTTTTGGTTCTCCTCTCCCCAGCATCATTATTTATTCCTTCAACAAATATTTATTAAGCATATACTGTGTGCCAGGCATTGTGCAATGTTTTGGATCTAGCATGGTGAACAAAATAGACATGATCAATACCCTCATAGAGCTCACAGTGTAGCCAGAGTGGCAGACAATAAACAAAACATTAATGGTTTTCAAAGCAATTCCAAGCAACTAATCCTGCCTGGTTGTGGCCATTCTCTAAAGTGCCGTTCCCACCCCACCACACACGCAAACTTTGAATTATTCTATACTTCCCCAAATTCTCCAAATCTTTAACATCTACCTTGGTCTTGGTCAAGGTTCAATTTAGTTTAGTTTTCTAGAGTGCTCACAAATTATCAAAAACTAGAAAAGTTAAGTACTATTATTTGCCCAAAATAACTCTTATTTACTGATGTATTGGTGATGGCTTTTCTTGGTTGAGAAATGGTGTTTTATATGATTTCATTCAATGCTCACCACCCCCCAGAGGTAAACATTATTATCCAAACTTTTAAAGAATTTAAGCTGAAGTTCAAAGAAGTTAAATAATTTAGCTAAGATGGTGGCTCAGCTGGTGGACCTGGGAATTTCAAGCTCATACTTTTCTTATTTTGAAATATTTGTTTACTCAATTTATACCCATTCTTCCGGGATCTGGGGCAGGTTCATTCTCCTCTGTGAAGCCTTCTTTCATTTTATGTTCCCTGAAACACAGTGGATGTGATTCTTCTGAGGCTTTGGGGGTGGCTATTTCGCTGTGGGCAATAGTGCTATGGAACAGCATAGTTTATTGAGTACTGGAAGGGGGTGCATGAGTTAGAAGTAGAAGGAGGCCTCAGAGTTTTGCATGGAATTTTGTGCTGTGATATGCAGATTGCTGCACTAATGTGTGACAAGGGGGAAGGCTGGGTAAAATGATAATATAGGAATAAATATTGGGCTCTGATTTTCAGAGAAGTGAATTTAAACCATATGAAAACTATATTGAGTTGGGGAGGAGGACAAAAGGAAAAGAGGTGAAAAAGACAAAATCACTCTGCACTAGAGAACTGTATATCTGTTAAAAGTAGGGAGAGTGACTAGGAAGGATTTTAAAGGAATTTTCTTGTATTCTTTTTTTGTTTTGTTTTGTTTTTTGGTGGTACTGGAATTTGAACTCAGGGCCTCACACTTGCTAGGCGGGTGCTCTACCACTTGATCCAGGAAGAATTTTTCTTGAAACATAGAATGACATTGTGATTGAGCATGTTGTTGGTGGCACCAGTCTGGGTTCAAATCCTAATCATACACCATGCAGCTGAGTAGTTCTGTGACTTCGGCCAAATTACTTAGTAATTCCATTACTATGTATTTCAGTCTGTAAAACTGAAATCATATTAATATATATTTCATAATCTGAAAATTAAATGAATCACTGTCATATTTTCTCTGCTTGAAAAATATTTTCTTACACATACCAGAGGAGGTTAGGTAGCCAACTATGTGAGAGTGTGAAGTTGGGAGAGATTAGATGATTTGAGGGTATTGAGAAGAATCAGTACAGTTCAGGAGACAGTTGAAGACCCAGGAATGAATAACAGACAGTAGAAGCAATAAATTGTGTCTATTAGGATTGGTTGTGGCTGTATTGTGCAGCCCGTTCTGGTCAAGTATAGATCTAGTACAATTAAAGTTGTTGACAGTTTCCAACACTATTGTCTGAATCTTTGCCTTACTGTGGACTTGAGCAGGCTTAATCTAGAACAATCAGGAAAGTGATCTGAGCAGTTGGCCCAGTCTTCTCAGGTCTCTAATTGGCAAGCATCTTGCTCGTACTAAATAATGCTTTAAATTTTTTTATTGAGATATACTTCACATACTATACAATCCACCCATTTGAAATGTATAATTCAGTGGTTTTAACTATTATTTCAGATTTATTTAGGCATCACCATGAAATTTTAGAACATGTTTAACATTCTTTTCTCTTTGTCAGTCAGTTACCACTTTCCTTTTGGTGCAGCTTCTGGCAACCACCAATCTATTTCCTGTCTCTATGGATTTACCTATTCTGGTCATTTCATATAAGTGAAATTGTACAGTATGTGGTCTTTGTGTCTAGCTTCTTTCACTTAGAATGTTTTCATGGTTCATCCATATTATAGCATGTGTCAGGACTTTATTCTGTTTAATTGTAGAATAATGTTCCATTGTAAGGATATAATATGTTTTATTTATCTATTCATCCACTGATAGATACTTCAGTGGTATCTACTTTTGGCTATTATGAATAAAGCTTCTATTAACATTTGTGTGGACATATCTTAGATACCTAGGAGTTGAATTGCTGACTCATATGGTTACTTATATTTAATGTTTTTAAGGAACTGCAAACCTGATTTCTATAGTGGGTCTATTTTACATTGCCATCAAATATGCATGAGAGTTCAATTTGCCCAGAACCTTACCAATACCTATTATTATCTGCCTTTGTGTTTATAGTCATCATAATGAGTATGAAGTAATATGTCATTGTGGTTTTGTATTTATCTAATACCTAATGATGTTGAGTATCTTTCCACAGCTTATTGGCCAGTTGCATGTCTTTCTAGGAGAAATATCTGCCTAAATCCTTTGTCCACTTTTAATGTATATGTATGTATTTAATTTTAACTGATACATAAATATATAAATTCTGTACATATTAATGGGGTGCCATGTAATGTTTTGATTGTGTACATTGCCCAGTTTCAAATTAGATGAAGCATACCTATTTCCTCAGTTATCATTTGTTTGTAGTAAAACTCCTGAAAATCTTTTCTTCTAGCTTTTTGAAATGTACAGTACATTATTGTTGTCTATAACCACCCTACTGTGCACTGGTACACCAGAAGTTCTTAATCTTTTTTTTTTGTAGTGTGTAACCCACTTTATATTCTTTTTTTTATTCGTTTATTCATATGTATATACATGTTTGGGTCATTTCTCCCTCCTATCCCCCACCTCTCCCTTTCCCTCCCATCCCCCCTCGCTTCCAGGCAGAATCTGTTCTGCCCTTATTTCTAATTTTGTTGGAGAGAAAGTATAAGCAATAATAAGAGAGATAAAACGTTTTTGCTAGTTGAGATAAGAATAGCTGTACAGAGAGATTCCTAGCATTGCTTCCATGTGCAAGTGTGTTACATCCCAAGTTGATTCATCTCTAACCGACATTTTCACTAGTTCCTGATCCCCTTCTCATACTGACCTCTGTCGCTTTAAGGTTTCTGTCTTAGTACCTCTGCAGTGGGGACATCAAATGCTATCATGTTTTGGGTTTCTTACCTATCACCATACCTCCTGTGTGTGCTCTCCCCTTATCATGTGACCTAAGTCCAACCACATTGCTGTATTTACCCTAGATCTAAAGTCCACATATGAGGGAGAGCATACGATTTTTGGTCTTCTGAACCTGGCTAACCTCGCTCAGAATGGTGTTCTCCAGTGCCATCCATTTATTCACGAATGATAAGATTTCATTCTTCTTCATGACTGAATAAAATTCCATTGTGTATAAATACCACATTTTCTTAATCCATTCGTCAGTAGTGGGGCATCTTGGCTGTTTCCATAACTTGGCTGTTGTGAATAGTGCTGCAATAAACATGGGTGTGCAGGTGCCTCTGGAGTAACCTGTGTTGCATTCCTTTGGGTATATCCCCAGGAGTGGGATTGCTGGATCATATGGCAGATCTATGTTTAGATTTTTAAGAAGCCTCCAAATTTTTTTCCAGAGTGGTTGCACTAGCTTGCATTCCCACCAGCAGTGTACGAGGGCTCCTTTTTCCCC